AAGACATAGAGATTTAATTAGAAAGTGCTTCTTCAAGTAATAAAGAACAATTTAAATAGCTGGAGGAATAGTCAGTGCTCATGGCTGATTCATGTCAATAAAAAATTACCACACTATCAAAGTTAATTCATAGTTTTAATACTATACCAGTCAAAATATCAAAGGGATACTTTACAGAACTCAATAAAACAATGACAAAATTCATTTGGAAAAGTAAAAGATCTAGGATATCAAGGGAAATTGTGAAAAAATATCAGAAAAAAGGCAGAATAGCACTTGTAGACTTCAAACTATATTATAAAGCAGCAGTCATCAAAACCATCTCTATTAGTGGTTCAAAAAACAGGGAGAAGTGGAATAGATTAGGCAAAGGGGGATCAGAGTTGATGAAATTCAATAACCCAGTGTTCAACACATCGGAAAAAATAAATTACTTAGGACACAACTCCCTATTTGATAAAAATTATTTGGAAAACTGGAAAGCAATCTAACAATGTAGTCTTAGATAAAATATTTTACAATATGCTCTAAAATCTAAATGGACATGTTAAAGATCATAATATAAAAACATTAGAAGAGAAGCAGACTGAGTATCTTTCACAGCTACATGTAGGAGATACAGTCTCAACCAAAAAGGGATTTATAATTACAGGCGATTACAGAAGATAAAACTGGTAAATTTGAATATATGAAACTGAAAATTTTCCACAACAACAAAATAAATGCACCTAGGATAAGAAGAGAAGTGGTTGAATATGGCGGGGGCGGGGGGGCACGGAACTTTGTATCAAAGTTCCCTGATAACAGTTTTGGATCTAAGATATACATACATACATACATACATACATACATTTAGTTCACTCATTTCAGAATATTTATTAGTTTCTGTGAACCCCAAAAAAGAACCCCAATTTTAAACACTGTAATCTCCAAGAAAGAGACAAAAGAAATTGGGGTGCATATGTTCACAGTGTAATTTCTCTCAAGCTGGGTTGACATGCATTGCATGGGAGTTCAGTTCAAAACCGGGCACCTCTAATGTGGCCAGTTCAGAACTGGCTCAAATTGGATTTTTGGGGTACAGCCTATATGCCCTTCAAAGAGTAGGTGTTCCCAAGGGGTGCCAATCAACTCTGGGAGGTGGCCCATATAAAATGTGGGTCTTTCAGTATGTGACTCCCACTCTATCCTGGTCAGAGAGACATCAATTTCCTTATCACTGTCTTGACAATAGGGAGGAATCAACATTCTCCCAGACCTGTCTAGGCAAGGTAAAGAGCAGGAATAGACCCATCGAGATTACATCTTAATGTCCTTCTGAAGGATTGAACTTAGAAAAAAGGGAGGTGGGGAAGCTCTGAGTTTCCAAGATAATAATCACTAAGAAAAATCCTTTTTCACATTTCCAAGTTGAGCAGAGTGGCCATCCTGACATAACCATCTCCATCCAATGTATCACTGTATGTAAATTGCTTATGGAAATAAACCCTTCACAGGTTTTCCCCAAACAACAGGTGTATGCATCTGAGACTACGAAGGGTTGATAAAGAAAAACCCCTGTGAACTGTTAAAGAGAAGAAACCCCAGATCCATAGCTTAAACAGATGCATTTATTGCCTGAGAATAAGCTTGCATACTAGAACAATGTCTGTTCTGACACATTCACGGTCCAGTTGGAAAGAGAGAGCTAATTATACTTCTCAAACAAAGAGAGGCAGGAAATCTGGGGAGAAACGGCAGGAATGAGTCAGTCCCTGTTCCCAAGGAAGAGGACATGCAGGAGTGGAAGCAAGGAATTTCAGGTGTCTGATATGTGGCCCTTTGAAACACAAATCAGTCTGACAGCTCAAGGCTTGAGCACAATCACTGTAAAACAGGGAGTGTCTCGAAGGACCATAAACCACCAAATGGCTCAGGGTCTGCTTCAAAGCTGGTTTGAATTCAGTTGGCTTCAGACTTGCTGATTTTCTCCCAGACCAACTAGGTTTCCTTGGTCACCACAAAGGTTGTTGGTACATCAAGCCAATATATAGCCAGTCCTTACATAGTTCTTCTGTTTACTTGGATAACTGGGGGTGGGGGGACCTCAAGTAAATCAAGGTATCCATTTTTCTCAGGGTCAAAGACAACCCATGAGCATGGGGTAGAAAATTGTCCATGAGTTAGGCCCATATGCCTTGGCCAAGTCACTCTCATAAAGGACTGTGAGCTCAGGCCCATGCCATCTGGCCAATTAATGCTCTTAAATCTTCAAGAACATTTGAAGATCAGGTTCTCCATCGATAAGAACTGACATCAGAAGCGTAAGTTTTTCATGATATAAGCAAGAGCAAGAGAGGCAGTGAGGTATAGTCCTTGGAGAGCTCACCTTTGAGATAGGAAGACCTCTGTTCAAGGCTGGCACATACTGACCCTGAACAAGCCATTTAACCTCTAAGTGCCCTAGGTTGCTTTCTAAAAATATAAGTAATAGAGAACATGCTAATCTGCATTGGTAGAGAGAGTTTTCTTATTGGGATTTCTTTACACCAATGAAACTGTAGGTTCAATCCTAGATGGGAGCCATGCAGCTTCAAATGCATTGCTTCAAAAGACACATGATGCAACCTTTACATAGACACTGACTGGCATATGTATCAATATGGAGAAAGCTGGCCTAAGACCTGAAGAAACTCCAAGACTGGGAGGAACGTGTCCTTCACCTTGACGTACTCAAGGAGTCTAGGGACAACACTGGTATCCCCTACACTTCCTACCCGGCCAAGATCTAGATACCTATGATTTATCTCTGCAGTAACTCAGATTCTTCAATAAATCTCAATGGAATGTGTGAGTTGTGTTGGGTTTTGCTTTCACCTTAGAGTGCTACAAGGATAAAATTCCACATATAACTATTCATAAAGAGAGGGCTACTACTAAGTGTTAATGAAGGGCCAGGCAACCCAATCACTTCTCCAAACCTTAGAATTAGCCTGATGGACCTAGAATGTTGTTTAGTTTTTTTCAGTCATGTCTTACTCTTCATGACCCCATTTGAGGTTTTCTTGGCAAAGATACTGAAATGGTTTGCTATTTCCTTCTCTAGCTCATTTTATCAATGAGGAAAATGAGGCAGATAAGTGACTTGCCCAGAGTCACACAGCTATTAAATGTCTGAGGCCTGATTTGAACACAGGTCTTCCTGACTCCAGGCCCGGTGTCGATCCACTGCACCATCTACCTTCCCTGAACCTAGAATAGATGGGTAGAATTTTGCTTTGAGTCTTATCCTATTGTTTACTTTACCTATAGGGGTGTATAAGCTGTTCAGGGAGCACTAGCACCTCTAATGTAAAGGCGTGTCAAGCCCTTTTCAGGGCCGCTCATTCACCTTTGGTGTCCATCTTCACCCAACTCTCACCTGTGGCTCCACCTGTAGCATACTCAGCAGCCACATCCAAGTAAACCTGGTTGAGAGCAACCAACCGGCCTCAAACCTGAGTTAGGGGAATGTCTACTCCGAGCACATGAATATTTTCCTCCCTGGAATGGGCAGATGAGAACAATCTATTCAACAGCTATGAAGATAACTGAAGCAGGTGCTCTGGTCAGACACTGAAGATGCCAAGGTCATCCACTGCATCCCAGGTAATCTCCAGTCATCTTGACTTTTGTCCTGCCGCTGGACTTTGATGACTCAGGAAAAGAGAGTGAGGCTGGTGACTTTGCACTACACTTAAGACATCACCCGTGATGTCATCTGTCCTCTTCAAAAACGAAGGACGAACCACAAACTTTACCTAAATGATGATGTCATATGACAAAGGTCACTGAAGTTCCAAATTAAAGTATTACACCACCTCTACAGACGCAGCTAAATACCAAATACTGGTTATCTGCCTTACAGTGCTAGCAACAAAAGTAGTGAAAAATTTTGAAAAATGTCAATCATGAAGGCAAAGTCTTGCTAGAAATTAAAGTTAGCTAACCTCCTTGCCTAACGGGAATAAGAACTTGTAGAATAACTTACAGAATAGGAAAAATATGCATATGATTCCAGATAAGCTTGCTGATAAACTCTATGCTTCCCATCTTGGACCGAGTACTGACCAACTTCAATAATTTCATTTTTAAGTTCTTCAGCTACAGTTTCTAGTTGGTTTCATTTATTAGATCAGGGATAAACAGGATATATTTTATCTAGAAATACCTTAAAATTATTGTTTTATTTCAGATGAATTATCAAGCGATAATTGCAATCGATGATTCAAAGCGCCAAATGATGATTTTTAGGAAAAGTGTTTTTTAACAACTTCATAGGTACTCCAGACTTTCTTCCCAGCATTGTATTGGCATCATCAGAACAAAACGCAATGAAGCTCGCTTTCACGTATTCACTATTAAAGCCACTTTGCGCGGCTCACACCAATCCTTTCAAAGCGCGCAGTGAACTGCGCCCCGGCCGGGTTCTCGTTTGCAAAGCCCAGGACGATCTCGCCGTCCGCCGCGGCTCCAGCCCCCCGCCGCAGGTGGCTCGGCTGCCTGCCCCGGGGCGGCCGCTGCTCTCGGCACGCGGTCGGTGCTGGGCTCCGGGAGGCGCCGCGACCCCCGCTGCGCAGCCCCGCTCAGCTCCGGCCACCCGCGCGGGCTGGCGGGGGCGTCATCGGAGGGGCCTTCGGTAGCGCTACCTGGGGCGGGCACTGAACCTGTAGGCCATTCCAAGCCTTCTCCTCGTCTGCAGAATAGGGGCGACGCTCAGCAGCCCTCTGTGCCCCACCGGGGGGTCGGGGAGGGACGTCCGAGACGGCCCGACAGCCCAGCCTGGGGCGCCCGCCCTCGCTGCGGGACGCCGCCTCCGCCGGCAGAGGGCGCTCTAGGCCGCGCACGGCGCCTGCGCCCTCTGGGCTCGCGGGCGCGCGCCGGCACCCGGAAGAGGCAGAGACGGAGGCGGCGGGAGGTGGAGGGAGCGCGCGCGCGGGGCGGCGGCACGTCCGAGGCCGGGACTGGACGGAAGCATGGAGGGCGAGAGGACGTCGGCGGTGATGTCGGGGTTTGTGTTCGGCTCCCTCGCTTTCCAGCACCTGAACTCCAACGCCGACACGGTGAGGCCAGGAGGGGTCACGTCCAGGGCCGGGGTGCGAGGGCCGCGCGGGGGGGGAGGGGCGGCCGAGGGTCCCCGCCTCCCTCCCTAGTCTTCCCGGCTCCCCTCCCCCAGTTACGGAGGGCCTACTGTGTGCCGGCCCGGAGGGGCCGCGTCGCCGGCCGCCGGGTCCCCGCCCGGCCGGCACACAGTAGGCCGCGTGCGAATGTCCGGAGCCTGGGGGCGTTGAACGGCCCCAGAGGCGGAGGCCGCCTAGCGGAGCGGGGAGGGCCGCGCGGGAGCCTCGGCCACTGTCGGCCGTGTTCGCGTGTGTCCGTTCTGCGGTAACCGCCGTGGGCCCTGGAGCTGTCGCTTTCTTTGTGCTGACGTTTTCCCTCTCGGCCTCTCCCGGGCCCCACAATTAAACAAACAAACAACAAAAACCAAAACCCTGGCCAAGTAAAGCAAAGGTGCATCGGCCACGGCCAAAGACGCGTGCCTCCTTCTGCATCTCTGCCCGCAGGGTGGGTAGCGGACTTCATCATTGCCCTCTGCGATTGTGGACATCGCGTTAGCCGGGATGAGAGTTGTTTTTCCTTACAGTGTTATTTTGTACAAATCATTCACCTGCTTCTCACTTCAGTCGGCATCAGTTCATACAAATCTTCCCAAGGTTCTCCCAATTTCTACCTTGATTTCTTACGACACACTGTTTACATATGATAATTTATTCCACCATTTTCGATTTGATGGGCACCCCCCTAGTTTCTGTTTCTTTGGCACTATAGAAAGAGTTGCATCCTTTTTTTTTTTCCCCCCTCTTTTGGACATCTTTGGGAGTGTAGCCCTGGGAGTATTATCTCTGAGTCAAAGCCACAATTGGGGGCATGGTTCTAAATTGCTTTCCGTAATAACTCAATCAGTTCACAGCTCCACCGGTATTAGATGTTTGCCTATTTTCTTGCAGCCCCTCCCACATTTGTCATTATTCAGATTTTATCATCTTTGCCATTTTGAAGAGTGTGAGGTGGGCTCCCAGTTGCTTTAATTTGTGGTGTTCTACTTGGTGATGTGGAGGTTTTTTTTTTTTCTTAAGGCTGTTGATGTTTTAGATTTCTACTTTGGAAAACTGCCTCCTCTTACCCTTGGGGGCCATCTCCAGTCGTCCTGATCAATATCTTACCACTGGATCCAAGTGGCTTTGGAGGAGAAAGTGAGGCTGGTGACTTTTGCACAGCTCTCCCTCACCTTGCTCATAAGGCATGCAGGTGAGAGATGGGATGTTACGGTCAGGGAACGTAGAGTAGGCTATTTAGGCTGGTACATAAATATATGTGATATAAATTAGTAAAGTTAGGCTCGAGCCAGACTAAAAGATTTTAAATGTCAAGGTGAGTTGGAAAACTGCCTCCTCTTACCCTTGGGGGCCATCTCCGGTCATCCTGATCAATATCTTACCACTGGATCCAAGTGGCTTTGGAGGAGAAAGTGAGGCTGGTGACTTTTGCACAGCCCTCCCTCACCTTCCAACATGCATGTTCTGGTATCACCATCTCTTCCTTTTTTTCAGTCCAGATAGATTAATCTCCTAAAACACTGACTTTTCTTCTAACTTTGATATTTATGTCAAGGGCATCACCATCCTTCCATTCTTGACTATTTAGTCTTACTCAAAAATCTAATCCTATGCAAAGTCTTGTGAGAGATCATTTGGATGTAGAGTATACCTCATACACCTAATTATAATGACCAAGGAGAAGAGATTCTTTCCATTGGAGAGGTGGAGGACTCTGGGTTTGGAATGTTGTATATATTGTCCATATGATTGCCGAATCAGTTGCCTGTAACTTTGTTATCAGGGAAAGCTTGTTGGGGAGGTGGGTGAGAAGTGCTTTGGCTAGAAATAATTGATTTTAAAATAAAAGATAGCCAAAAAATTATTTGTCAGTGAATACCCCTCTACCCCCATCCCCAGCTAATTTAGGACCTTAATAAGTTTTTGCTAAACTACTTAACAGAGCAGTAGCCCTCTGATTGGTCTTCCTGGTTAAGGAATTTCTCCTCTCTAATTCATCCAGGATAGATTCCCCGTGGGATTTACAGTCAGAAACAAACTGCTCGGTTTGACACATGCAGTAAAACTCTTCATTAACTTGCTCCTGCACTCCTTTTCAGATTTATTACACATTATTATTCCCCATCATGCAACATATTTCCAGCCAAACTACCCTACTTGCTGTTCCTCTAAACAGAACTTCTCCTAACTTCATGCCTTTCTATCAGCTGTCCCATTTCCTTCTGTACCTGCCTCTCAGAATCCCTAATGTTCTCCAAAGCTCAGCTCAATCACCACCTTTTACTTGAGGCCATTCTTAACCCCCCAGCTACTAGGTCCTCTCTCCTCCAATACCCTAATTTTATTTACCTTTTATTTGCTCTTTAAGGGCATGGACAGAGTTTTGGTTTTTGGTTTTTTTAAAACCTCTATGCTTAGCATAGTCTAGGTGCTTGTTGATTAATATGCCTCCATAACCTCCAGTGAATCCTCCTTATGCAGAAAATAAAATTCCAACTCCTATTGGAACATTCAGGTCTCTCTGTATTTTAAGCTCACCCTTCCTATATGCCAGGAACTTTCACCTTTAACCAAATTAAGTATCTCACTATTTTCTGAACCTGACATTTTTTCCTGATTCCAAACCTTAACACATGCAGTTTCTCTTACCAGGAATGTTCTTTCGCCCATTTGACTGTGAACTCCTTGAGAACAGAGATGGTTTTTTATCTTTCTTTGTATCCTCAGAATAGTGCCTTGGCACGGGGTAGGCATATCTTTTGATGCAGTGATAAATGCTAGTTGACTAAGCCCTACCTTCCGGGTTAAGCTTATGGTTCTGCTTCATTCAATGGATAGTAAGAGCTTACATATGTTCAGGCCCTGTGCTAAGTGCTGGGCAGTTACAAGACAACAAGAAAGTCCCTGCCTTCAAAGAACTTGTATTTTAGTGGGGCATGCAGCATGTAAACAAATAAATACAATGTAATTTGAGAAAGGAATTTTAACTGGAGGAATCAGGAAAGAGTTCATAAAGAAAATGGCCACTTACTAACCACGGAAGGAAGCTAAGCATTGTAAAAGGCATAGAAAATAACTTGCTCATAAGGCATGCAGGTGAGAGATGGGATATTATGTTCAGGGAACATAGAGTAGGCCATTTAGGCTGGCACATAAATATGTGTGACATAAATTAGGAAAGTTAGGCTAGAGCCAGACTAAAAGATTTTAAATGCCATGGGGAGTTGGTATTTTGAAAACCATTGGAGATTTTCAAGCAGGGAGTAGTATAATTAGACTTGTGACTTGGGAGGATTATTTTGGCAGCTGTTGCATGGATTAGGAAAAAAAAGAACAAAGGAAAGCCAGAAAGAGGCTAATTAGGCTATGAAGCAGTCCAGGCAGCAAGGTAATACAGATCCAAAACAGGGTGGAGATTAGGAGAGGGGGGAAGATGTGTATGGGATAGGAAAGATGTTGAGATAGAACTGAAAAGACTGGGCAGTGGATTAGAGATTTAAGGGGTAGCAGAAAGGGTCATTGATGATTCCCAAGTTTCAAGGTTGGCTGATAGGAGGATTGGTGTTATCCTCAATAGAAATGGGGAGGTTTGGAGAAAGGGTAGGTCAGAGGGGAAGAGAATGAGGTTTGTTGTTTTTTTTTTTTTAATGTATTGTGCTTGAGTTGCCTAAGATGTCCAGGAAGGCAGTTGGTGATATGGGACTGCAGTTCAGGAGAAAGGTTAGGGCTGGATATGCATCTATTCACCAATCATCTGTATAAAAATACTTGAACGCTTGGGAAGCTGATGAGATCATAGAGGGCTAAGGACAGCACTTTGGGGCACCCCATGGTTCAGGGGCAAGAGATGAAGCAATATAGTCCATATTAATCTTCCCCTTATCGCAATTTTTATAATACTTGTACTATTGATTTTGACATATTGTCTTTTCCTGTTACTTGACTCATTCCTGACTTCTCTTCAACTAGGCTGAGTAAAGTGTTCTTTTCTATCCTCTTTATACCTAGCATATTGTAGATGCCCAGGTTTGGAATGAACTAATTAAAATTAGTAAAGACATAATAAATGTTAGTTTATTTCATATATCGTTTCTTTTTTGTACCCCTATAGGAAGGTTTTCTCCTTGGGGAGGTGAAAGGTGAAGCCAAGAACAGTATTACAGACTCTCAATTGAATGATGTTGAAGTTGTTTATACAATTGGTGAGTATACCATGTGTTATCTATGTGTCAGACCTAAAAGCAATCAGGATAAATGCTCTTTTAAAATATTTTAAAAATAATTTTCTAAAAACTTATTTTAAAATGGAGATTGAAAATAAAATTAATGCACTCCTTATTCCTTATTTAAAAGTATTAGGTATAGCTTTGCTAAAGTAGGAAAAAACTAAGGAAAAATGAACAATAAAAATTACAGAATACATTATATACATGCTATAGTTAATTTAAATGAAATTTCTTTTTCAGACTCTTCCTGCGGGGCTTTATTGGTAACATGTAATAATGCTAATGATTTATGTGGGTTTATTTTATGTTCTATAACTTTGCTGAAGTTATTAGTGGTTTCGATTAATTTCTTAGTTGAGTCCCCACTGTTCTTTAAGTAAATCATCATGGTATGCAGAAAGCAGTAATTTTCTTTGCTTTTTGACCATGCTTATTCTCCCAGTTTCTGTCTCTTCTCTTATTGCTGTAGCTAGTATTTCTAGCACTGTATCAAATAGTGGACCTCCTTGATTTACTCCTGATCTTATAGGAAAGGACTCTAGTTTATCCCCATTCCTATGATGCTAGCCCTTGATTTTAGATAGATACTACTTATATTAAGGTAAGATTCAGTTATTCCTGTGTTTCTAGTGCTTTTAACAGGAATGGATGTTTTATTTTATTAAAAAGCTTTTTGTGTATTGATATAGTAATATGACTTGTTGTTGTTCTCGTCAGTTATATTTATAGCATTGAAACAGTCCTATTGTCTTGGTAAAAATAAGCCTGGTCATAGCCTTCGTGATATGTTGCTGTAGTCTTCTTCCTCATCTTTTATTTAAAATTTCCGTATCACTTTTTTCTCCGTTTTGACTCTCCCTTGTTAAGGTAGCAAGACCATATTTGTATCATAGAAGGAATTTAGTAGGACACCTTTTCCTACAGTTGATGTAATATTGGAATTAATTCTTTAAATGTTTGATAGAATTTGCTTTTAAATCCATCTTGTTCTTCAGAGGCTGTTTTCGTTTTGAGCTCATTTATGTGTTTAATTTCTTTTTCTAAAATTGGGTAATTTAAGTACTCTATTACTTGTTATGTTGATTTGGACCTCTTATATTTTTATAAATATTAGTCCCTTTCATTTGTATATTAGTTTTATTTGGCATATAATTCAGTGAAATGATTTTCTAATTTATTTCTTCATCAGTTGTGAATTCACCTTTTTAATTTTTGACATTGAGAGTTTATTTTTCTTCTTAATCAAATTAGCAAATGGTTTATCCATTTCCTCCAAGCCCTCCTCCCACCAAAAAAAAAAACCCTTAGCACCTAGGTTTTTTGATTAGTCTAATTTTTTTCTTTCAGTTTTGTTTATTATTTTGATTTTCAAGATTTCCATTTTATTTAATTGGGAGTTTTAAATTTGATGCTTTTCTCTTTTTTTTAAAATTGCATGCCCAGTTTATTGATCTTTGTCTCTTTTAATGATAAAAGTGTTGATATAGAAAATATCCCCTGAGAACTATGCATCCCCCAAATTTTGGTATATTGTCTCATTGTCATCATTTTAATAAAATTATTGGTTGTTTCTCTGATTTGTTCTTTGACTCATCTGTTTTTTAGGATTAAGTTATTTAGTCTCCAATTAATTTTTAATAATTTATTCAGCATCCATTTATTCAACATAACTTTTATTACATTGTGGTCCATAAAAGATGTGTTTAATTTTTCTGCTTTTTTGTGAGGTTTTTTACTACATGATACATGGTTAATTTTTGTAAAATGCCATGTACAATGAAATATATATATCTCTATATATTTCTTTCTATTCCCATTTAGTAACCATCAGACTTCTATCATATCTTTCTTATTGACATCTTTTGGATTCCTGATATTAGGATTCTGAGGGGAAACATATCATCTCTATTAGGTTGTAAACACTTCATCCTTTTTTAATCCTGTTACTGCTCTCTGGTATTTACCTTTTTCTGTTTCTCTTGATCCTTCTGTTTGTATTTCAAAATTCCTACTCAGTTCTGGTCTTTTCTTCATGAAAGCTTGGTAGTGTTCTGTTTCATTAAAAATCCATTTCCCCCTGTTGTGTTATACTTAGTACAATACAATGCCTGGCAATTCGATCTAATGGTTTTTAAATTATTTTATTATGACAAAACATGTCAGATGCTTTCTGAGTATCCAGGAAGGGCTTACTTTCCCTGTTGCTTGTTTTGAGGTTATAAAATGTGTTGACGGCGGCTTTCCTCATATGCATGGCATTGTAGCACAGGCTGTCATCTACTGGACTAGCTATACTAGTGCTAACATCAGTGACGGTGTACCATGTTTTTGCGGGTGGGCTTGCCTGAGAATCATAGATGGAAGCCACGGGGAGAACATGAGGGTATAGATTATTTTGGGCTTATTTTTATACTTCTGCTAATGCCTACCTAGAAGTGAATTGCACATGGTAGGTTTTTATTACACGTTTACCAGTGAATAAAAATAATCATCATTTACGTAGCACTTAAGGATTTACAAAGCCCTTTTCCTTAAAAACATTGAGGTATGTAGTGAGTCATAGTTAGATACCTATTGAGTGATAGATTTGGGACCAAACCCAGGGTTTCTAATTCTAAGTGCAGCATTCCTCTTATTGCATAACTTCTCATAAATGTGTGTCTAAGGAGGTGATCACGCATATAATTGTCTCCTTTCCTTAGACCTGATTTGGCTTTTGACATGGGAATAAGGTAGCTTAGCTTTTAGACATCTGTTGGTTTTTTTCTGCTCAAATAGTTAACCTCTGCTTGAATGAAAAGAGTTAATGCATCTTTGTAGGGGAGGATCCTAGACTAGTAATTTGGTCGAGTTTAGGGGTATTTTCCCCATGAGGAAATTCTCTACCAATTTGAGTCCCTGACGAGTTGGCAGCTTAGAGTTTTAGAGACTTATCTGGAGCACTGAGAGGTTCGGTGAGGTGCCGAGTCACATGGGCCAAAAATGTGTCTGAGGTGGGACCCGAACCTAGGTTTTATTGACTTCAAGAGCAGTCCTCTGTGTCCTATGCCAGGCATCAGTACATCTAAACTACAAGGTATGTAATTTATTCCTTAGAATTTATTAATTATAAAAAATAGTTCCTAAGCATCAACACATGCATGGAATTTAATATTTATTAAACAACCATGGAAAGACTTTCCTAATGCTAACAGCTACATTACCAAAATATGAAATTAGAGAAAGAACATCCTGAAATTCAGTGAAAATATAGCAGATTAAAATTGTGCCTTTGGGAAGGTATTTGTAATCATTACTGCAGTGTTAAGAATTTCAATTAGATTAATATAAAAATACTTACCTTTTCCTTTCAGACATACAAAGGTACATTCCATGCTATCAACTCTTCAGGTAAGTGCTACCATATGTGAGGAATTCTGACCAGTAGTTTGTGATTGGGTTATGTCAAGCAAGCAGGAAATAATTTATTAAGCTCCTATTACGTGCCAAGCATTGCACTGGGGATATAAAGATAAAATAATGACAGTCCCTGCCCTCAGGAAGCTTATACTCTATCTTATAATGAAAAGGTTTTTTCTAATTATCTGAAATGAAATTATCATTTACTCATTCAACTTGCTGGGGTTCCTTATTTAATGCTCACATTCCTTATGATACTTGGTTGCTGTATTTTCCCTGACCTGCACATTTGCCCAGGGTCACACAGCTAGTAAGGGTCAGGTGTCTGAGGCCATTGAACTCTGATCCTTCTCACTCCAAGGCCGGAGCTCTATCCACTGCGCCATGTAGCTGTCCCTTACCTCTTTTATTTTCCCAAAACAAGGCAACCATAGATTTGTGGGATTAGAGATAGAAAGTAGGAACTATAACTGATCGTTTAAAGGTCCGTTTTCGGCAGAAAGAAAGAGCAGCCATCGTCAATTTCAGAGTTTGATTTTTTAAAATTGGTATAAACCTGCTAGGTCATAGGACAGAATGCTTGTTCAACAGTTTTTGTGTTGCTCGTTTCTGGCCTTAGATTTTTGTGGAGCACTGTGTTTCTCCTCTGCCTTATCACATTCTACCTCAGGATCTTTCAAAATATTTTTCTCTACAAATACTTTGCTGTGAATAATTGAGACGAGTGATCAGTTGGCACAACTCAAGGAGAGTTTGGAGACCTTAAATACATGAAGTTTCTCTTCAATGAGTTCAGCTGTTTTTGTTGTTCTGTATAGTTTCACAGTCTGACATGTTGAGAGTAATGTGTACTGCTACTAGGCAAGGTCTGTTTATGTTGCACATGCTGTATTGTATATGCTGGGTAGGTAAAATTTATTAAAAAATTACTTATAAATTTTCTTTTATCTCTAATATATCACCCAAAAGGATATCAGTCAATAAGCATTTATTAATTGCTGGGCACTGTGCTAAGTGCTAAGGTGCTTGGGATACAAAGAAAGGCAGAGTCTCTACTCTCTAGGAGCTCAAAGTCTAAAGGGGGAGATGACTATTTACAAAGACACATGCTAAATAGTTTGGAAATAATCAACAGAAATGAGGCGCTAACTTCCTGTAGAAGGTGGGACTCTAGCTTGAAAAAGGCCAGGAGGCAGAGATAAGGAGGGAGAACATTGCATGCATTGGAGGATAGCCAGTGAAAATGCCTGGAGTTGAAAGATGGAGTGTTTTGTTCACAGCAAGGAGACCAGTGCCATTGGATTAAAGAATTTGGGGGAGGAGGGGACATGTGGTGCTGTGTATGGTAAAAGATGACTAGAAAGGTGGGTTTGGGGTCAGGTTATAGAGGGCTTTTAACTCCCCTGCAGAAGTGGTAGACTATGGGTGTGAAATACTGCATATACTGTCAAATTCAGTTGATGTGTTTTGTTGAATTGGGTCTTTTTCCCTCTTTTGTATATATTTGGTTGCCAGGGATGATTTGCTGGGGGCAGGGGAGGGGGGTAAGCAGGGAGAATATAGGGAATGTGATGTAAAAACAAATTATCAATAATAATTTAAAGTATTTTCTTGATATGGGCTCCTAAAGAAAACAATAACAATTAGCAGACTAGGAATTAAGTAACTTCATTGTCACATAGACTCATGAGGTATGGTAGGGTCCAGTAGAATGTCAAGGCAAGCAGTGCTGCTGCTGTTAAACTTTGATGGCACATAGATCTTATTGCTTAGCATTGGGGTACTTTGGTTAGGGCCAATTGCAATATTATACTGGCATTGAGAAAATTCTTTTTTTTTTCCTTAAACTTTTAGGCAGTTGGGGGTTAAGTGACTAGTCCAGGGTCACACAGCTAGTGAGTGTCAAGTGTCTGGTCTGAGACCAGATTTGAACTCAGGTCCTCCTGACTTCAGGGCCGGTGATCTATCCACTGTGCCACCTAGCTGCCCCAAGGGAATTCTTTATAAAGAGATTTCAACTGACACATATTTTCATCTGCCTCTTTTTAGCTTTTATAACTCAATAGGTGAAGTAAATGAGCAGGAGCTGAAGAAGATCATCCCATGCTGCAAAAAGGTATTGGGACTTGTTCCACCTCTGTGACTCACTCCTTTAATTATCTACTTTTTTGGCTTCTAACAAGAGTAATAGTCACATTAACTTTGCACATATGGCTTTTAATCTTATCCTCTAAAGTAGGTGGGGAGAAAGAACTGAAAAAGGCAGCACAGGCAGTGTACGGCCTGGAGGACTGTAGCCAAGTCCATGGGCTTTTCTCATCTGTCAAATGGAGGTAAAATATTGTACCTAAAAGGATTTTTATGAAAAAAAATGAACTCTGAAGTGCTTTACAAATCTGAGTGCCAGGCCCTTTACTGCAGAATTTGAGAGTTAGACTAGAACTCAAAGGACATTCTATACCTGAAGAGGGATTCCCCCTGTGGTGGGACTGGCTCAAATCCTTCCTCCAAACTGTTGACCTTGAGCAAGTCATTTCACCTTCCTGGGTCTCATTTTCCTTATCTGAACAGGCAGGATTGGACTAGATGGCCTCTGAAAGAGGGTCTTTAAGTACTTCCCAAGATTTTACTTAACTACCTCAAGTGAGGGAAACCTCACTAACCCTTATCTACCCTAACCTCCCAAGGAAACCCATTCTACTTTAGGAAAATGCAAATTGTTAAGAAGTTTTTTTCTTACCTCAATCAACTTTCACCCCTTGCTCCTAATTCTACCCTTTGAGCCCAAGCAGAACAAATCTGATCCTTTCTGCAGAGGACAGCTTTTAAAATACTTGAATAAAATACTTGACTGTCCATGCTAAATCTTACCTTCTCCTGGCTTAAGATCCCAAGTTCCCTCAAATAATCCTTACATGGCATGAATTTGAGACCCTTCATCATCCTCGTTGCCCTACTCTGGGCACCCTTCAGCTTATCAATGACCATTCCTAAAATGTGGCCACAGAACTGAAGAGAATACTCTCTTTTTGGTCTGATGAGATAGAACCTCTCACCTTAAAAATAAACATTTTTGGTTAACTGGTTTTAGTCAGAGAATTTTATCTTTTAACTCAGTTGCATTGATCTCATCTTTTTAAAATGATGTCCTTATTATGAACCTTAATTAAAGGTTCAGATTTCAGGACAGAAATAGAAAAGTTCTCTTGAGTTAAGAACTTCTAAGAGGGGAAAACTCTTAAAAAATTTTTTTAGTAAAGTCTAAGGAATGCACAAGAATATTTTAAGTACAAACCAGTATTTATGTTTTTGCAAAGTACAAAATGTGTATATGTAAATCTTAAGCTTGTCAAGAGTTTTTCTAAATGTTGATCACTGTTATTGAATGTTTTCTTATTTATTTTTGTCTCATTGTGGCAATACAGTTTTAGATAATAGAGATATTTGATTTTTCTCCCCTTAGAATGTTATGGGATGGTACAAATTCAGACGTAATTCAGACCAAATGATGACATTTCGAGAGAGGATTCTTCACAAAAATTTACAAGAACATCTTTCAAATCAGGGCCTTGTTTTTCTGTTACTAACACCAAGCATAGCCACAGAAAGCTGCTCCACTCATAGGTTGGATCATGCTTTACATAGACCTCAGGAAGGGTAAGTGTTGCACATATTTGAATTAGCTAATGAAGTTCAGGATGTACTATGCTGTTATTTTTCAATATTTAGTTCTTAAATGTTTTATACAAATGTATACGTTGATGTAACAACATTTAATGCATGGATTTATGTGAGATGGGTTTTTCCTTTCACATCTGGATTTTCTTGAACACAGGGGTCATAATGATCCCTATACCACTGGGAGGAAAAATCAGATTTCTCCTTCCCTTAGTGATGCTAATAAGCATAGGACTACCTCATGTTATACAGATAACCTTTTCCATGTCGTATCAAGATTCTTATCAAAAATGTATTGACTACGTAGCTGGTTTGTTTTTTGTTTTTTTAAACTAATGGAAAACAGCTTAAGCCAAGTATTGGTTATGCCTAATTATAGCTATATTCCATTTTAAGTGAACTAATTTCACATAAAGTAGCCATGTGTTTTTTTTTTTTTAATTTAAAATAATTGACAGTGCTGTTGTAGATAAAAGTAATTGCTTATACATTTACTGGAGTAATTTTTTTTGACAAATAATAGAGGATACCTGTCTACCTCACTTGTGTAGGGTGGTCTATTGTGAATGGGAAATGAAGATAATAGAATGCCACTGCTAATTTTTAACTTTGCTATAAATTCATATCAAAAATTTTTTTTAGAGTTTTCCATAAAGTGCCTTTAGTGGTGACCAACTTAGGTATGTCAGAGCTACAAGGATATAAGACTGTGTTGAGTTCCTGTATATCCACTATCTTTGGCCGAACAGTCCGTGCACGTAGGTAAGATGGCTCCTCAGCCGCTAACTCTTCACCTCACCTATACGCTCATTTTCTTAAGAAAAAAAGAAAAAATTGTATCATTAAATTTAAAATGGATCAGAACTTGAACTAATTTTAAAGCTAAAGCCACTATGCATATAGTCTGACTACAAATATGTGCTATCTCATTTTCATCAAGTCCTTGGCTTCTAGGTAATCTTTTTATTCCTTTTTCATTGCCTATCAGATCAGATCATTAAACATAATTTAAGTGCCTCCTTTGTGTCAGGCCCTGCACTGGGCATGCAATGAAACAGGTCCTTGGAGCTTACCTTCTTTTTGTGGAAAAGTACACAGATAGTATACATAGTATATGTATATCTATACAACATATAGATGGTGTACATATGTATAAATAGATAAGGAAAGACCTATTATATATACAGTATGTACAAGGTATTTGAAGAGAGTCAAGAGCCTCAGGATATCTCCAAAGTTGGATCTGGGGCCCTGCTGGGGGACATAGCTTATGACAATGACATGGTGCTTTGGGAATTCCATAGGTCTCCAGGTGGTTGTCCCAAACCTTTTCCTTACTGTCCCAACTCTGGCTACATCCTCTTTTCCTTCCAAAGGACTTGTCTACCTACAATACTGGCAAGAGCTCATTCAGTATGAGCTTCCTGGTCTTCTATCGTTTTCTTCCTTTCAGTCTGAAAGACGTGTTCTTTCTCTTTAAAAGTTCTAATTCTCCATAATCTCTTCTAACTCTTCCTACCATTCCTCTAAGACCTTGCTCCATCCCTGCTTTTAAAAGTTAAGACTCTCTTGTCTCATCTTCTGTTTATAAACATGTCAGATTTACCTCAACCTAAAAAAAAAAAAGCTACTTTTGACCTACAACATATCCTACCTCCCCTACTTCTCCCTTTAAAAAAAAAAATAGTACTCTACCTCCTTACTACCATCTCAGAATCTGTGTTCAAGGGCCCTATATCATCTCCATCTAATCTTCATTTTCCAGATGAACTACAGATAATAAGTTTTGAAATCTATAAAGGCACAAGAAAATATCTTTATCTTTAACCAATAGGTCAGAGTTTTTTAATGAAGATGGAACTTTAAAAGAGGTCCAGAAGATAAGCGAACTCTATGGCACTATACAAGAGGAATTAAAGGTAATTATCTCACACCTTTAAGGAGTGTTTCTAGATTTAGAAATCATGCCAGCTCTACATGTTTAGGATTTCTTCTAGAAAAATTCAGATTTTGCCTAGTATATTATCTGTTAAAAAAAATACAGCATACAAAATTTTTTCAATCAAAAAATTTATTACTAAATTTATTATAACCAAAAATTTAACAATATATTATTATACATTATACATTGAATTTTTAAATTCAGAAAGCTTACTTTGATAAATTCCTCAATCTGTAAACTTGAATTAAGGTAGTAATTTTGGGGAGTATATTAAACTTCCCCATCTTCTACCCTAATTAGTCACGTTAGAGAAAAAAAAATTGCACGTGCAAAAATGCCATAGTTGGTGTGTGATACAGTTCAGGAAGGGGTTAAAATTTGTGACGTTGCCTTATTCTGTCCTGTAGAATTCCTTTTAGTTAGTATAGGTTACTAATGTATTATGAGTTGAAATGTTGTCTGTATAATTAAACTACTTTTCTTTTGTAGGAAATATGCACTCAAGTGTTAGACAGTGAGCAATTAGTAGAAAAATTAATAAAGGATATACATAGACTAAAAGAAGAACTTGCAGCAAGAAAGAGAGCCAAGACTGTAGTATCAGGTAAGAAGAAAAGTTAACATTCTTATACTGCTTATCTTTTATTCCTGTACAGCTGCCATTGAAGGACATCCATAATAGTTCATTTCCCTAGCACTTTCAGATCGACAAAGCTGTTACTTCACAAGCAGCCCAAGCACTCCCTGTTTTACAAAGAAAACAGGCACAGAAAGTGATGGCTTTGGATGCTTATAATAACCAGTAATTAAACCAGTATGCAGGATACCATGCTACTGTTTACAATGGTGTCCAACTTTTACCTAACCTCAGTTTAACAAGATTGATGTAGTAAGCAGGCTCTGGTCAGTAGCAAACAGAGGATGGGGGAGGTTTTGCTAAATGAAAAGAACCCTTTGGGGGCAGCTAGGTGGCGCAGTGGAATGAGCTCCAGCCTTGGAGTCAGGAGGACCTGAGTTCAAATTCGGCCTCAGACACATGATACTTACTACCTGTGTGACCCTAAGCAAGTCACTTAACCCTTGATTGTCTCACCAAAAAGCAAAAACAACAACAACAAAAAGAACCTTTTCTTCAGGTTCAGGAAGTCGGCTTTGGCAGATGTAAGCCAAGCTTGCTGAATATTCTAAGGAAAAGTATCATTGTGGATAAAATTTTAAAATTGGACTCAGATCAAATAAGCCATGAAAGGCCCTGGGATGGGGAATGTGCAGCCTGGAGGCCACATGTGGCCCTCTAGGTCCTTAAGTGCTGCCCTATGATGGAATCCAAACTTCACAGAATAAATCCCCTTAAAAGGATTCTAAAGGATTCTATAAAACTGAGTTAGAATCCTTTTAAGGGGATTTATTCTGTGAAGTTTGGATTCCATCACAGGGCAGCACTTAAGGACCTAGAAGGTGGCCACATGCGGCCTCCAGGCTGCAGATTCCCCACCCACTCCTACCCTAGACCCTTATGTTCCATGTCAATATGAACTTTTACATAATTCTGAATAATAAATTGTGTTTTTTGATTTAGCAGTAACAAACCGTGACTTGGAAACAGAAGAGAATGTTCTTCTTTGTCAAGCTTTACGGACATTTTTCCCAAATTGTGGATTTCTTCATTCATGTATTGTCTGTTTGAAAGGCAGGCAGATTTCTAGAAACTGCTGTAACACTGACCACAAACTCCATCTAGTGAGTGAATTAACTTTGATGCTGGAAAGCCCTGATTTTCCAGAAGATGATGAAACAAGATGTGGAGTTAAGCGTAAATCTCTTGACTTAGAGAACCAAAGACCACTCAAGAAAGCACGACTGTTACAAATTCATAATCAGTCTCTTAAAAGAGATCATGAAAACAATGATCAGGAAACAGAACTGACAAGCAGTATAGAAACAGATGAAGAAGCAGAGAAATTGAAGGACAATATTGAATATCCAGAGTCACCAACTTTCTGAATCTTTCATACAATTTTCCTGATTGTCCCAAGTGACCAAAGGGCAACAGGGGAAAAAAAATTATTGTTTTAAAGTACTAATTGGATAAGTTCTAATAATTTTCTAAAGTATTGCATCATATAAAATATTTTGGAAACTTGTTAAATTAGGACTGTGACAATATTTTTTATTACAGTACTCTAGGAGTATGGCAAAAATTACTAGTCATTTTCCCAGTTGTTTAGTTTTTGTAAATAAAAGCTTTTACTGAAACTATTAATCTACTTTGTAGATGAAATATATCTGTAAAAAACCATCCTAAAACTTGAAGCTATATTTTTAAAATTGGTCAAAGAAAGAAAGGCCACACTAAGAATAAGTTAAATTTCAGAACTCAACTACTCAAGTTTTTACTGCATACATTTTCTTATGCCTAATCAACTATCAGATTGGTTAATCCTAAAGTCTGAACTAGTCCTCAATCAAGAAATTCTCATGCCCACCTTCTGTGTCTTCATTCTGTTTCCCCCAGTAGAAACTAAGTTCCTGTGGGGCAAGCACTTTTTTGGAGTTATCTGTCACCTAGCAGGTACTTAACTCTTAAGTACATCCCATTGTTTGGGCAAATGGTGTTTCAGTCAAAATTCTAAAGGGCTTGGTTTAAAAACAAACAAACCCATCTTTGATTTACTATATGTGATGTATCACCTCCCTCACTCTTCTGCCATAGACTAAAATCACGAGGTCTGCTGATAGAACTAAAAACCCACAGTCACCTCTACAACAACTGAGTGATAATGTCAGGTAGAGTTCAGCTGAGTTGTTTTTTTTTTTATTTTCTACCACAAAAGTGTTAAAGTTAATTATTCAAAATCATGTATGAGCTGTATGGCTCCTTGGAGACCATCTTTTCCAGGCTGATTTTACAGATGAGGAAACTGAGGCCCAGAAAACCTAATGTAGAAACAAGCCAGGTCCTCTGACATGCAGGCCAGTGCTTTTAAAACTGAATCACAGTTGAAAGCACACACATCTCTCAAATAAGTTTTACTGGTACTAGCTTTATTCTCAGTATTTGATGTTACAAATTTTGGGATCTTTCAGATAGGCAGGATCCTTGTAAGTAACTGGCATGAATCCTACAAAAAGATAATTTGTTTTAAGTTTTTCACTGTAATTTGCACAAATAAAAAAAATCAATAAAGCTAAAATTAGAAAAAAATTAAACATACAATAAAAGCTTATATAGTCTGCCACAAAATCTAAAGCAAAGACAAATTTAGAGTCGTTCTTCATTACACTAGTGGTCAGAGAAGATGAGCATTTGCAAAAGAAGAAATTCAAACTAAGGATACAAAGAAAGGTTCAGTCTCAATAAGAGAAATGCATATTAAAATACTGAGTTATCACTTCATATAAAAACCAGCAGAAAATGGTAAAATTTAGTGTTGGATGAGAACCTGTTAGAACTGCTGGTAGAACAGTCCAAGTGTTTTTTATGAATTTTGGAATTATTTAAGCAAAGTGACTTACTCTTCACTTTCTTTGAACCAGAAATCCTTTTCCTGGTACTACATCCCAAGGAGGCTAATGAAAGCCAGAAAAGACTATTATGTGAAAAATTTTCACAGCATCATTTTTAAAAAATAACCAAAAGGTAGAGAAAAATATGTGCCCAATAATTGGACAATTACTAAAAGAGCTGTGATATAGGAGTATGATACAATATCACTGTGCCATAAGAATGACAGAATTCAGAGAATATAGCAAGACTTATGAAAGTCAGAGTGAAGAAAGCAGAACAGGAACACACACCAATCACAAGGTAAGTAGAGGCAGCCCTCCAGGCAGCATAACTGCACAAAATTAAAGTATGCCATCTCCCATTAACCACAAAGGGGCAAAATGACATACTCTTAGGTGCAATCAGGCTATTCTGCTTAATTCTTAGGAGAAAAGTTATGAGGGATTTGGGTATTGGTTGGAAAGTGTCACATTAAAGCAAAATGTGTCCAGAAACATACATTAAATTATATAATAGGCAAAAAAATGGATAATAAATATTTACTCTTACCCATTATCTGAGCCCGCTTAATAGCCTTTGTAATCTCTTTCTGTTTTTTCCCACATAAGCCTATGAAAAAAAAGTTTTCACTCATTTCACTCCAGATATAAAAAGTTAATGTTTATATAAAATCCCTATGACAATTAGAGTGGACTTCTAAAATAAACTGTGCTTTAAAAGAAAGACTACTTAATTTTAAAATACCACATCAAATCCTATCCTTGGACAAAATGCTTTTGGAGAGTTGCACTAAAATAGTTAACTGAGCCCTAAAGAGTCTAAAATTTAACCATTTTGCTTCACCTGTAACATCTAGTCAACAGTTAAATTAGAAAACTAGCTCATTTTCTTGAAGATAAGATTAAGATTGGTTTTAAATTATACATTAAAATATTCACAAATGTATTTTAATGTAAATACCTGTTATGTGTCTTCCATAAATGCACCCAGTGAACGGAGAAACAAACTGGGACAAAAGCTGTTGATAATTTTTATAAACAAAAATCAAAATTAGTAGTACTCAGTTAATAAGCAACTTTTAAAAAGTCAGTCTTAGTTTTGTTTTTTTTTTTTAGTACTGTAATACCAATTCACATTTATATGGTGAAAAAGTTGCCTTATACAACAATCTTTTCAGGTAGGTATGAGTGTCATTTCCATTTTTAAAATAGGGAAATAAGCCCAAAGGTGCTGAGTGTCATAGCAACAGAACTAGAAAAAGTTAGTATTGAAGCTTCAGCCCAGGACCTGGTGATTTCTAAATCCATTGAGATGTCTACTACTAAACTATAAGCTCTGATATAAACATATGCTTACATTATTTTTGGAGGGGACATGAATATCTTCAAGAAATACCAAGCCCATTTATTAACAGCCTGAGCCCAAATTTTAAAATGTTTCTATGAAATCTCCAATTAAAAATATGCTTAGATTACACATACACATCTTATTTAGTATCATTAGGGAAGAAAGTAACTTAAGTTTGCCCCCTTTTATGTGCCAAGTTTTTAAAAAGTTTTCCTTTTGCAGGGTTATCTTTAATCAAAGTCCTAGAGAACCATGATGAAACAAACTTCCTCAGCTGAGAGGTGGGGGATTATAGATGTGTAGTATGGTATACGACTACTGGTTCTGCTTAAATGTTTTCTGTTAACAAAAGGGTAGTGCTATTTAAGGGGATAAATAGAAGAGGAATCAAAATGCCCACAAAAATGTACTTACAGAAGATACTTGAACATAAGTTTATGCAATGATCCATGACTATTATGGTGAATATCAATTACTTGGGAGGGAAAGGTGGGGAGAGCTCTTTATACCAGTAGACTCAGAATTCTTGTGTCAACATTTTATAATGCTTTTTTTCCTCCCTCACCATTACCTTACATTTCTTGCTTGCAGTACTGTTCTCCCACCTTTTTATAATTTGTTTGTTCTAATCAGCTATGTGCCAGGAAATAAACTTGGTTAGATATAAATACATGCGTTATGGTATATAATACTTATGAGTGAAACACATGGACTTTATGACATCTGTTAAGAAGCCATTTTTGCTTACTTCTTTGGATGACAGCTATAATCTGATTTAATTCAAATTAAATGAACATATACTGTGGGTATAAGCACCTTCTATGTCCTCACTAAGTTTTAGAACTAAGCTCCTATTTTAAAAAGTATTAAATTCTCTTTAACAATTTATCAGACAGCAAAATCCCATATTCAAGCATCTCAGGTAATAAATTCAACTCTCACCTGTACATTCT